TATCTGTGTACATGAAGTAAAGAGCCAATTTCAATTTCCTCCCCCACTTGTTTTTGCCCTCTGCTCTCATCAACCCACCAAAATAATTCTTACTGAAGAACCAATGATTTCTGTGTTGCTAATCTATCTTTTTACTCCTCACTTAACATCTCCAGCAGTACTGGTACTGAAAACTCCTTCCTCCACGACAATCTTCTTTCCTTGGCTTCTAGGACACAGCCCTCTCCTGGTTTTCTACCTACCTCTCTGACTAGTTCTTTTCAGACTCCTTTGCAGACTCATCTAGCTCTACCCAGTCAGTAAATACCAGCATTCCTCAAGACTCCATCCTATGCTCTCACTTCGAACAAGGCCTGGCACACAGTAAGCACCAAGTATTGTGATTATCAACATCATCATCACCTTCTCACTCTACACCTCTACGCTGGCAATCTCTTACATTCTTTCATGGTAAAGACTTTAATTACCATTTATACAGAGATGACTTACAGTGTCTCTCTTGCCCAGACTTGCCCCGCCCCTGCGTTCCTAAACCATATATATTTGACGTCTCCTTTTACATATCTCCAAGACACTTCAAATTCAGCAATGTTAGTTAGATGTTGGCAACGTTGTGGAGAAACAGGAACGTACCCTCATCCATTGTCGGTGGGAATGTAAATTGGTACAGCCACGGTGGAAAAGTTTGGTGGTTCCTCAAAAAGTGGAACTTAAAACTACCCTATGACCCCACAATTTCACTCTTAGGTATATATCCAAAAGACCTGCAAGCAGCGACACACACAGAGACGTGTACATCAGTGTCCACTGCAGCACCATTCACCACAGCCAAAAGGTGGAAACAACCGAGATGCCCGGCAACTGAAGAATGTATACACAAAATGCGGACTACTACTCAGCCATAAGGAGGAATGAAGTCCTGATGCATGCTACAACACGGATGAACCTTGAAAACATGCTGAGTGAAATAAGTCAGTCACAAAAGGACAAAGGATGGAATTAATATAAAAGAAACTTTAAAATCATTAAATACTTTATTTACGTGCAGTATGTTTGTCAAGTAGGGCAGTGGTATGATTTCCCAATTTACATACACTTCCACTGTAAGAGTTTAGAAAAATATTTCAGCAATGTAAGGTGTAACTGTCGAATATTCAGCATACTCTTCTCCCTTTACTCTGGCTAACAGAAGCATATATATTAAAATGATCTTCTTTGCACTAATTATTCCCCTCCCAAAATAATTCACAGCATATAATTCTCCCTCCTTTCATAAACTGAGTATGAATAAAAGCATAAAAAGTAACACAAATTTTAAAATCCTCCATATAAAGATTTCAATACCTTGGCTTTAACCCCAATCATTTTTTAAGAAGTGCTAAACACTGGCTGGATTATGAGCTCACAAGAGTCAGACAACAGCTAGAGAGGAATCTTCTGGTCAAGAAGTCACTGAAAGCCTTGAACTTCTGAACATAAGCAACAGCTGGCCACTGCTTTCAGGACTAGGATGCAAGTATTCAGTTACACAATCTGCCAGGTCAGTGGGAGTGGCTGGAGACGTCACCAGGAATGGAGCAGTGAAGGCTTAATTCATCTATTTCATGATCTCTCTCCTCATATTTTATCAGTCTGATATGAGCTAAGAGGAGGGAGTGGGACAGTTAAAACAGTTTTCTTTTGTATGTTAAAGTGTAAATACACACATTTAAAGGTTAAACCGATCTGTAACCTCCATCTTCGTGTCACTGAGTTCAATGAAATACCCTGCTGTCGTCCCAGTGCCAGCCTCACTGAGGATTTCAGAACGTGGGGTATCCAGAGCTGGGAACTCGAGCCCGAGCGGGATGCCATAATGAAGACGTGCAGGCAGTCGAAGGTGAGAAAGCATTAGACAAACAACTTCTCTGCACAAGCTCTCTTAGCCTAGAAGCATCGTCCACCACACCTGAATCCATCCTGCGTGCTGCCTTTCCTATACATGCCTGGAATTGCTGATGCCAGATCAATTCTGTATAATACCATGCCTTACGTCTAGTAGACAATTTCTTAATATTAATTTTCCTCATAGCCCACTGACTTTCTCACATCCTGAATAGACTTCTCTAAGTAAAGAAGTCTATTTCGAAGGTAAATTTAAAATAATTTTTAAGGAACCAGGAATACTGATTTAGAATGAATATCAATTTAGACATAACACTGTTACTTTGTATTTACTATTTACTATTCATATCGTGCTAGCAAACCTCTAAAACTGAGGAACCTGGCAAAATAAAATGGCTGACATAAGGTCTGAATCAAAACCCCATTTTGTTACAAGCTCCTGCTTCTCCACCCCTGAGAATGTAACCATGACTTCTTCCCATTTATATGCATATGTCTTGGGTGTAACCAGGAGACCCTGGCCCCCTATCAATCATCTTGCTTAACCGGCCTGGCTCTTGTGCCAAGCCACTCTTAGCAAGTATGGGTGATGGTCAGGAATATGACTGCAGGAGAAAGAGTTTACTCAAGATGTTCCAGAAAGAGGTAGTTGAAATAGGACTTCTGATGACATACCCACCTTGTGGCTGTAACCGTGAGACCGTCACACACTCCCCTTCCCCATTTCTATTATAAAGGCACACCTCTCCCTCCATACTTCCTATTGTCTACAAGGTTGTTGCACAATATACACATTTTTTTATTCCTCAATAAATCTATTTACTTTTATTTTAACAAAGTATGTGTTCTTACTCTTTGACAATATTTTTCCACTGACTTTTAATATAAAATTAAATCTGTTACATAACATTCAGCTCCAATGAAGTTATAAAAAGGTCTCTTTTTAAAAAGCAGGAAATATTTAAAATAATTTGAAAAATTAATAAAAATCAACATGAATCCAGTGATATTTAAAATGTCATATTATTCATCACAAAAAAATTAAACGCAAAATAGATGTTGCCTGATATTTTACATTTATTTTGTTCTGTATCTCTGCATTAATAATAGCCAACATAAGGCTAATTTCCAAAATGTGAAGATAACTCATATCCCCACTCTCCCACTTCATCATCCTGACACCAGCCACCTACATGGCACTTTCTCTCTCCGATCCTAACCACCTGGAGTTGAGAATCCACAGGTTAGGACTCTGTCCCTCAAGCCCCTGCTTCCTGTCACTGCTTCCTCTCACTACCCCAGGTGCATCTGATAACTTGCTAGAATGACTAGTAGAACTCAGTGACTACCTACACTTACAGTTACCTATTTATTATAACCAGAAGGGATACAAGCCAAGCCACTTCAGGCAAGGTCTGGGAGAGTTCCCGGCACAAGGTTTCAATTTTCTACAGGGGCTTGCCACCCTCTCCCATTCATGGATGTTCTCACCAAATCCAGGAAGCCCAGAAAGAGAGAGCTCCAAGGTCTAAGGTCCTGTAGTCATTGGGGCATCACTGAATATGCATGCGATGAACGGGAATGGCTGAATGCATCATGCTCCCTTCCTTCCTGAGGCCTAGTGCTAGGGCTGGGCCTGTACAGCCCCCTACATATTTACATATGTTTAAGTGCTGCCTGGCTATTTTGGAAAACAAAGAGCACCTTAATTGCTCAGCCTATTCCAAGGGCTATTTTCAAAAACCAGAGAAAAAAGGCCAAAATTGGTTCTTTGTCCCATAATCTCTACTCCTAGGAAATTGCTCTCTTTTAAGACTAATGCTTTAACTATTTCTTGTAGCTGGAAGAGGCTGCATAGGTCGGCTTACTATTACTACTCCCCCATTGCTAACCCCCTGCATTGTCTCATGATCTTTCCTTTTCTTCCCGTTGCAGTCTTTATACAAAGTTTAAGATTAACCAATGTTCCTCCAGGGTGGAAAACAAGTGATAATAATCTAAGAATGAAAGACCGAACAAAGCGCCTGTCTTGTGACCAGAAACCAGGATGGCATCAGGCAACCTTCAGGAATGCCAGTAAAAGGTCAGCTTGGACGTGACCACCGTGGTGACCACCTTGAGGAGGAACCAACATTCCACAAATTCTTAAGAATCATGATTCTGTCCCCATAAAACCTCCAGCCAGTCTCCAGTTCAAGGAGTCAGGTTTTTGGAGGCGTCTATTCCCCTCTGTCTCCTATATATTGATATATAATAAAACTCTTGCTGCTGACCTCACCTGTCTCAGAATTGGCTATTGCAGCAGGCAGCTCTGATCCGTGCGATCGTGGTAACGTAGAGACATTTACTTCATTATTATTGCATATTTATGTAAGTTATTATTTAAAGAATAAGTAATTAAGTAAATAATTATTTGTTTAGTACCTTTCTAAAATTTTAGGGTGAGAATCATTACTATATTCATTAGTGGAAAATACTCTTAATTTTCAAAATGTCATATTTCTTATACTATTTTTAAGTAGTTCTCTCCACTGAGTTTTTTCTAGGCAAAAAAATATTTCATAAATTCATGGGATCTATACAGTTCATTACTGTAAAAAATATTAAAAACTTAATATAAGGATTAATCCTTATCACTTATGAGAATTTCTATAGAATGGGTCAACTATACCACACTTAAATTGGCAGATTATTTTGCCCACCTACTCAATCATGAGTAACACCACTAGAAGAAATCAGACTCCAAATTCATGTCTTTATCTAACTGATACTGTTTTTTCCAACCTGTATAAAAACTGATCATCCTAGGCATATTTTTGCATACAGTGTATACAATGTTTAACTTTCACAGGATTACTAAAAGTATTGACAACCAATATCCTCTAAATACTCTTATTTTGGTAATGGTCTATAAACATAACTTCTAGAAAGTTCAGCCTGGCAAAATGAAATAACCCATGAGTATCAGACAATATAATTTTTTCCACTTTCAAGACAAATAAGATACCTGTTTATATTACTTGCAAAATGGCTATATACTAATATTACTACATTCCATAAGATAACCAAAGATAAATGATATGTATTCTTTAGAAAACACTATTGGTCACACATTGTTCTTTTCAGACACATTTATATAAAGATAGAAATCAACATTTCTAGCATCAATAGGTTTGATTAGCAAATGTCACCCATGTAGGTATAATTGCCAAAGGGTGCCCTTGATTCTAACGACCATTATTATTGACTCATCTGTAAGTTAAATTATCAGTTGTAATCCCCCATCCACTACTAGAACATGCCCTGTAACATATGGTGATTCTAAAAGAAACACAACCGCATGTGCCACTTCAATAGGTTCTCCAAACCTCCCAAGAGGGATATTTTTCTTTAAATGATCTTCATTCAAGTCTTTCGTCATATCTGTGTGAACAAATCCTAAAAAAGAAATATTTGTTTTATTTAGTTGAAAAGGGTAGGCACTAAGATATACACTTAAAATAAAATAAAAACTAATTCACTCCTAAAAATTTGAGGTTATTAACAAGCCTTGTTAGGAAACATAAAGTTTTGCTAGTAATCAAGCAACCAAGTCTACATTTTTATTCAATTTAATTCAGTGAACATTTACTGAACACTAAAATATATGGCCCCCAACACGAATAAAACACACTTCCATTCCTCAAGCAACCTGTAATTTATGGCGGCAACAGTCATTTGCACACCTAATTACAACGTAGGAAAGTTTATACCTTACAGAAATATAAACAAAATTCCACAGAAGTGATTAATTTTCACTTGAATGGGGGCAGAGGAGTGGGAGGTAGGGGAGAGGGAAGAAAGGCATCACGGAAGTGGTCACAAGGACTGATTTGGCAATTCTGATAAAAATTAGCTCCATTTGCAAGAGCTAAGATAGCTGATGATTAGAAAGAGCAGTTTTTCCAATATCCATGTTAAAAAACACCTCATGGTCATATTCAATTCTGATGCAAGCATACACAAAAATTCAAAAGTTAACATGGTATTGGTGTATGTAATAAACTTTGCAGAGAACATGTTCTAAAACAAAGTATAATGTACTACATAAGATATTAAACAACCAATTCTAAATAATTCATATCATAGATATATGCCAGGGAGAACTGTAGGTTTATTGAGAAAATCTTCTGAGATTAGTCTGAGACATACAAATACATATTACTAATAAAATACTTAATCCATATAATTATTTAGACTTTACAAAAGAAAGTAAATAATCCTCATGAAATAAACAACATTTAAAAGATCAATAAACTTTTTAAGGTCATGAAAAACAGATGGAATAAAAGTCAGACATGGAGCCCTCGTGGCATGGTGGTTAACAGCTCGACTGCTAACCAAAAGGTTGGCAGTTCGAATCCACCAGCCACTCCTTGGAAACTCTATGGGGCAGTTTTACTCTGTCCTATAGGGTCGCTATGAGTTGGAATCAACTCAATGGCACCAGGTTTTGGTTTTCTTTTCTTTTTTTTAATTGTACTTTAGATGAAGTTTTACAGAACAAACTAGTTTCTCATTAACAGTTAGTACACATATTGCCTTATGACATTGGTTAACAACCTCACATGTCAACACTCTCCCTTCTTGACCTTGGACTCCCTATTACCAGCTTTCCTGTCCCCTCCTGCCTTCTAGTCCTTGTCCCTGGGCTGTTGTGCCCCATTAGTCTCATTTTGTTTTGTGGGGCTGTCTAATCTTTGGCTGAAGGTTGAGCCTCAGGAATGACTTCATTACTGAGCTATTAGGGTGCCCAGGGGCCATACTCTTGGAATTTCTCCAGTCTCTGTCAGGCCAGTAAGTCTGGTCTTTTGTTTTCGAGTTAGAATTTTGTTCTACATCCTTCTCCAGCTCTGTCCAGGACCCTCTGTTGTGATCCCGGTCAGAACAGTCAGTGGTGGTAGCTGGACTCTGTGTAGCTGTACTGGACTCAGTCTGGTGGAGGCCGTGGTAGTTGTGGTCCATTAGTCCTTTGGATTAATCTTTCCCTTCTGTCTTTTCTTCATCCTCCCTTGCTCCCAAAAGGAGTATGAAGTAAAAGTTTAATGTGCAATCTCAAAAATACAGCTTTCAAATGGACTTTGGTTAAAACTAAATCATTTATAACTCAAACTAGAAATCAGCCTAAACATACTGCCATTTAACGTACCACAATGAATGTGGACTGAACAGTGGATTAATGAAGAATCAGGATTAGGCCGCTGGTGTATTATACAATACTATGCAATTATTTAACTTCTCTTTGCCTTAGGTTTTCATTTATAAATTGCTAAACATTTTCATTGAATCCTTGTGAGAAATGATCATAGATTTTTCTATAATGAAGCCTATGAGAGTTGTATTAGGGAAAAACTGGAAACAAGCTGAATTTCTTTCAATTACAAACTGAATAAATAAATCACAGCACATCCATACAACAGAAAATGGCCAGGTATTAAAAATGATGCTATAGAAGAGTATTTAAAATGATAATGAAAAATAATACCTGTGTATAAAACCAAAATAACCAAACCTGTTGCCATCAAGTTGATTCTGAGTCATACCAACCCTACAGGACAGAGTAGAACTGCCCCATAGGGTTTCCAAGGCTACAGTCTCTATGGAAGCATAGGTTACAAATGAGTTCAGTTATACCAATATTAAAAAATAAAAAATAAAAAAAAAACCTAATATACTGTCATGGATTGAATTGTGTCCCCCCAGAAATGTGTGTAGCACCTTGGCTAGGTCATGATTCCCAGTATTGTATGACTGTGTTATCTGATGTGATGTCCTTATGTGTTGTAAACTCTCCCACTATGATGAGATTATATGTGATCTCATGTGTTGTAAATTCTATCACTGTGATGAGGTTATACTGATGAGGTTGACAAGATTAGTGTCTTAATGCAATCTCTGTTGAGATATAAAAGAGAGAAGTGAGCAGAGACACATGGGAACCTCACACCACCAAGAAAGCAGTGCTGGGAGCAGAGTGCGTCCTTTGGACCTGGGGTTCCTGTGCTGAGATGTTCCCAGAGCAAAGGAAGACTGATGCATCACAAGGACCTTCCTCCAGAGCCAACAGAGAGAGAAAGCGTTCGCCTGGAGCTGACGCCCTGAACTTGGACTTGTAGCCTACTGGACTGTGAGAGAATAAACTTTTCTTTGTTAAAACCAGCCATCTGTGGTATTTGTGTTAGAGCAGCACCAGATGACTGAGACATATATGCTAATGACTGAAAAAATTCTATACCAAGATATTAACAGATTCTCACTATATACTGGAATTACAGGTGATAGTTTTTACTTCCTTCTTTGTACCTTCCTGTTTTTTCCAAATTGTCTACAACAGATATATATTACTTAAATATTCAGATAAAACGTTACTAAAAAAAGACACACAGTACTAACTTTAGATTCTATCATGAGGGCCTGGAATAATAAAACTAATTTGGTATGATTTGCGTTTCATTTGATTACACTGTGAAATACAATATCCTCTGTGGTAAAACCATGTATTTACTTGAAAAGTCGGCACTGTTTCCTTCACTCTCTTTCATCCTTAAGAACAATGAGATGGCCAGAAGGGATAAAGACTAAAAGGAGACACAGCTGACGCACGTGATGACAACACTGGGTAACTGCGGGATCCCAAATGGACTGAAAGGGAAACTTAATTTACAGGGAAGAGCCAGTAGGCAACCCACTCATCTGAGGAGCACTATCATGGAGGCTCTTGATACCTAAAGGTTTTTCTTCGGGCACACTTATTTTCAAAGCTGGTTCAGAGAGGAGACTAGAAAGAAAATCACCTTAATTTATTAATAACAGACATCTTCCTCTGATTTTAAGGGGTTTCTCTTACCCATAAGCCCAAAAATTAACTGTAAACACCTGACCCAAACTCCAAAAGTACTGACTTGTTTTTTCTACCAGGAAATACTTACGACTCAGCAACACTGTCAATTTGCCTTTTCTGGCTCAAAAAAGGCAGTCAATGACAAACTTATTACCACATTTTTTCGCAAGTAACATGTCCATGTAAATAACGTACACACACGTATAATGCGCATACTGTGCCCAGGAAAATAATGCACGAGGGGGTTGCACAGCTGGCAAAAAGCGTATAACATGCATGTTATTCACGTAAAATATAGTACCTCATGAATCGATGAAAAAGACTGTGTGCTTCCTTAGTTTAATTTCAAGAAGTCTCATAGCTACAGAAAGGCCAAATTTTCAGGAGTTATTTTTTAAATGCTAACTCAATAACTACGGAGTACGCTTTCACCATGGAAACTTGTATTTATTAAGCAAAAATTACGTCTAAGCTTTTGTAAAATCTCCAGTCCTCTGGAGCATTTTATCTTTTTGCAGAGATAGGGACACGTCCCCAGTTTGTAAACTGTCTATTAAATCGTGAAATAATCAAATATTATATCACTGTTTCGAGCTAATTCAAAGGTTAATTTTTTAATAAACTTTCGGCCCCTTTGGTTTTAGAAACAAAATGATCTCCCTGCATGCATACAGAATGACTGCTGGGGTAAACCTTATGTTTCAATTTCTTTGTGTTTTGATTACTTTTAATAATTCATTAGAAAAATGGAATGGTTCAAAGTTATAAAAGCAACATTTAGACGTTCATGTTATCTTCTCAAAGAGTTTACGATACTATTAAGCTTTAGTCCATGCAATTTTTGAGCTCTAGCAAAATAAGCATAAAATATTTTCCCGCAACCTTTCAAGCTCTCATAAGGAAATCAATTATCTGTTTTAATCTTTTTAAAAAAAACCAATAAACTACAGTAGAAATATTTTTCAAGAGAAATCTTTTGGATATGGCTTAGCAAATTCCAGGCTCAACTCCCAACTGGCTCTGGTGGCTTTGTCTTAAAGTCAGCATTTTGAGGTAAAAAGACCGTTTGACTAGGACACATTAAATGTTACTGCCCACTCTGATAGGTAACTGTTGTCAGTAGCCGCAGTCAAGCCGGCTCCGGTTCATCCACTCTGATGGGTGACTGTTGTCAGCAGCTGCGGTCAAGCCAGCTCCGATTCATCCACTCTGATGGGTGACTGTTGTCAGTAGCTGCGGTCAAGCCGGCTCCGATTCATCCACTCTGATGGGTGACTGTTGTCAGTA